GAGAGGAGAGGAGAGGAGAGCAGGAGGGGAGGGGAAAGAAACTCAGAGCATCATGGGGCCCCCCAGCAGCCTAGGCCTATAGCAGCATAACTAAGGGAAGGCTCAGGGTCACCTGATCCAGCCCTAACTATAAGCTTTATCAAAAAGGAACGTCTTAAGTCTAATCTTAAAGGTAGAGAGGGTGTCTGCCTCCCGAACTGAGACTTGGTTCCATAGGAGAGGAGCTTGATATGATGTCAGGTGAAACATCACTATGGGAAATCTCATCAAAGGTATAAATGAAAGCCCCAGTAAAAAAGCCTGGATTGCCACACATTGTGTTAGTCTACTGTGTACTGTAACTTGTTGTGGTTGAGAAGAAACACCAAATACGTCACCCACTCAATGACTCATGTCACCACTTTTCACAAGAACATCCAGTCATGTTTTACAACAAAATAAAATTATTGATCACAGGATAAACACCGGACTTTGCCACAAAGCCACAGTGGTAAGATGCAAAGAACAGAGGTTGTCTGATGGGCCCACACGACCTCTCAATAAACAAAAAAGCAAACACACAGGATGCAGCGACACACCACAATACACAGCATCAGCATTGAGTCTCTGACAGGATGTTGGTCAGCACCCATTCTTGCAAACTGGGAGCGCTTTCCAACCAGTCATCTTTGCAGGAAGCATCTTGCATCTAGGTACATCAAATGGGATTCAAATATAGTGGTACAGATTTTAAACTATTCGGAATCAAAAACTAAATGGAAAATGTGGTTCCTAAAAGTGACGCAATACCAGATTCACCCAAACACCGATGATCAGGAACGACTCAGGACATCATTAATATCAAGACTGTGTCAACACTGGACGTGACCAACATCAGTTCACAACAGACAAAAAAAAAAAACGCTTGCAGTGCTTTTTTGGTGGACACGTTCGACAGGATTTCAGTTCTGCTCACAAATTTCGCTTCATGTGGGGAGACTGCGCGTGACCACTGCCATGGTAAACAGGAAAAAAAAAAAACCTGCTGACCATAGAGAGACTGCAGTGGTGCTCATTAAAACTGACTTGTTTGTTACTGGCAAATTAACTGTGTCTGGGAGGTTTTGTCGTGCTGGATGAACCAGGGCTGTGCTGAGGCAGTAGAAGGTTTGAACAATTCGACACACTGACAGATACACTTGTAGAAAAATACAAGTTTACTGTTACGTTGAGAACAGCAGGTGTCAACAGATGCATATTCTGATAAACCACTGTTCACACCCTGTCAATGAATTTGAAGAAGTCTCTTCAATCACTCTCATCGGTGGTTAACTCTTAACAATAGGCCTGAAAACAACATTTACTTTCATTACTCAGTTGTCCGCATCATTATACACCTTACACAGATATCACGGGCTCCTTCAACATGGTAAGGATCACACTGATCATCTCTCTGCACTACTGACCATGCAGGGACCAAAGGTTGTCAGTATCACGGTGCAGTCGTTAGAGGTAGGGCAGTCGTCTCCTGACCAGACGCTTGTACTTAAGAGATATCTGCTCATACTTTTTATTTAGTTGTGGCTGTTCCCACAGACCGCAAAGGACTGATACAATTTTTCAAGATGACGTTAATTACTGGTTATGTTCCATCAGTAACGGCTGTATCACTGCAGAGATCTGCACATTAAATCTCATCTGAGAGGAAAGTGCTGATGCAAGCTGAGTAGATGACTTGGTCTGAGAATTAAAAAGTACTGTCTGGACATCCTCTTGGCTGCAGCATAGTCTCAGTCACTACAATACCCCAACCTGTGAATCCTTTTTTAGCTCAACCTCCTGGAGCATATGTATCCTATCACACCATCTATCAAAAGCTCTTTTATCTGTGTCGTTTAAGTCAAACACAGCAAAATGCCACAGATTTACAAACTGTTCCTCATTCCAAGAAATGTCTACAGATACATGTAGACATACCTGGTGCAGGTATAGGAGAATATATCAGAATCAGGCTTATCGCCCAAGTATGTTTAAACACACAAGGAATTTGTCTCCACTATAAACAGGAAAGTACAAAAAAAAAAAAAAAAAAAACTCAAAGTGCAATTACAGGTGGTTCGTGCATTCTGCAGGGTTTGTCCTCAACCCTTGTGAATAATAATGATCTGCTTACAATGAAAACATGACATTTGTTTTGAGATGCCTTACACAAGCAGAAAGTCTTGGGTAATATGGAAAAGTACAAAGAGGAAATAAAGAACCCACACAAAAATAGAAGGCAACTTTGCACAGTCTGCAATCTTTATCGGTAGGTTTCCTCCAGCAATCAGCCATACGCAACCTTACAAGAATCTATTGTGTCAACATGTTTACTGAAATGAGTATTCAGGGTTCAAATATTCACCAGATAGAAATGTTTTAAGAGCTTTTACAGCTTGGACATGATCTTACCCTTATAACCCCTCCCCTACCTAACTAAACCTTTTACAGTTGTTTACATGCTCAGAGATGTGATAAAGTAAATGTGAGCAACATAGATAAATAATGTCTAAAGAAATTAAAGCATTCGGTGTTTTCATTACAAGCAACACAGCATAAAAATACTAAATAATAATGTCGAGCAGATAACATGACAACACAACATATGACAACACTGTTAACATAAGCTCACATATGGACTGTGCATGAAAACAGTGGTGGCCTTACAAGATGTTAAAACGACCTAATTTTAAACAACTTGGGCTGTAGTGTCTTGACATAAAACCGAGAAAAAACTGCCAATGGCCAGGTATTATCTCAACCTAAGAACAGTCTGCTTCCAAGAAACTAATCTGCATTTTATGTTGTTAAATCACTGAAATATAAACCCACTCCCTGATAGGAGACAGGCCGCTAGCTGCTAACATGGAACCAGCGGTTTCCTGTGACGACGAGGAGTCACTCTTCATACAAAACAGACATTCAAACCGCATTCATATTTTGTAAATCGTCTGATATATCTTAATGTATCCGATGATTCAGACATGTAGATCCAGTCTAACATAATAGGCAGTTAGCTAATGCATAAGATAGCGTAGCTAGCTACTTACCATGACACAATACGGCCTGTAACCACACGAGAACGAGGAAAACGGGATGAAATCTAGACAAATCCATACTCAGTTTGCAGCCCACTGCACGCTCTTTCCTCAAGGTTTATATGAAACTGAGAAATCAAACTAAAACATCTAACTAAGACTTCATTCCCACGCTGCGGAGAAATCACAACAGTCACAATTTGTCTCCAGCTGCTGTTCAGACTGAAACCCGCAAACCCGGCTCCCGAAGACTGAATACAGACGATGCCTTCATGAACCTCGTAAATGTGCACTTCAAAGCTAACTTCAGACAGAGGACAGTCTGCTGTAGCTTCATGAGAAAATAAGTTATATAAACCTGACTTAACACCACATTAAACAGACAAATGGACATTAAAAAATGTTAAATTTGTTAATTTATCTGCTTTCATATGAAGTTGTTGTGTTACAAATCCATCCATCCATCCATCCATTTTCCTCCGCTTATCCCGGGACCAGGTCACGGGGGCAGTAGTCTAAGTAAAGATGCCCAGACTTCCCTCTCTCCAGACACGTCCTCCAGCTCCTCCGGGGAAATGCTGAGGCGTTCCCAGGCCAGCCGAGAGACACAGTCCCTCCAGCGTGTCCTGGGTCTTTCCCGGGGCCTCCTCCCGGTGGGACATGCCTGGAACACCTCCCTAGGAAGGCGCCCTGGAGGCATCCGAAACAGATGCCCGAGCCACCTCAGCTGGCTCCTCTCGATGTGGAGGAGCAGCGGTTCTACTCTGAGCTCCTCCCGGGTGACCGAGCTCCTCACCCTAGCTCTAAGGGTGCGCCCGGCCACCCTGCGGAGAAAGCTCATTTCGGCCGCCTGTATCCGGGATCTTGCCCTTTCGGTCATGATACTTGAACCCCTCCACTTGAGGCAGGAACTCTCCACCAACCTGAAGGGAACAAGCCACCCTTTTCCGACTGAGAACCATGGCCTCGGATAATTATCTCAAATAATATAAAAAATCTCAAAGCTAATTTAGTGAATCCCTGAAATATATATTTATCTGATTCATTTGTCCAAGTTACCACATATTAAAACTTTTTGTATAATGTTACTAAATACATCTTTATTTATATAGCCATTTTCAAAAACATGACTACAATGTGAACAGAATTTAATTTTACAACTGTTTTAATTTGATCTTAAACTGAGAATGTTCTTGAAGTGTAACTTGGAATTTTAATAGCTCTGAAATATCTTGAGATTAAAAAATAACTTGAAAATAAAGCTGTCAAATAAATGTAGGACAGAAAAGTAGGCTACATTTTTAATTGAAATTTGGAGAAGTAGAAGTCTAAAGTAGCCACAAATGAAAAAACTCAAGTCAAGTACAAGTACAACAAAATATACTGTACTGTAGGCTTATATTGTTCCAGTCCGTTTATTCGTATTTCCGTCGTGTTCACTCGTGTTCCAGTTAAACCGCTCCATGTCCGACAGCAACTGAATGCAACCAAAAACCGGCACGTGATTACGAAACTTGAATGGGAAATTACCAGTTTTTCCATGAACATTTATCATAAATCCCCTCTATCCTGTTACAAAGACATTTACTCTTGTGTCTGTAGGCTAATAGTGTTTCTTTAGACTGATAGATAAATGATTTAAAATATTAAAAACACCTTTTGTGTAGCTCTGTTGTGAATATGTGTATCTAATCTAGACAGACAGACATATAGATAGAAGGCATGTGATAACTACTCCAAACAAAAAAAGTTCCTATTGGAAAAGCCATCTTTAGGACAGACACAGCCTATGTTTGCATGCTGAAGCTGAACTCTGTCTGCACTTGATGCCAGTTCAAGCTTCTTCTGTGGGATACTTCCCCCATCCTGACGTCAGCTCTATGTGATTTTTTTTCTCCCATCCCAGACTGAAAGTGACGCATTCACTTATCAGCTCTTCAGCGGCGACCTGAGGTGAGTTACTACCCAGAAAACTGGGAAACTTATTTTCCTCATGTGCAGCAGTGAGGACCATTTATTGTACTTTAACAATTGTTTAAAATGGTCATTTGCAGTCAACATGTAGAAAGCCAAGCCTGTTGTATATTCTCCTATTACATTACATAGTCTGTGCATTCCTGAGTCTCTGTTATGTAATAGAAAGGCTTTGGCTGATTTGTTCAGATAGAAGCCGGTAAACTCGGTCACAGATATACATACAAATGACAGGTTTATATTTCACTGTCATTTGTCAACCTACAGTTGACCTCTGATGAGATTACTCCTGAGCATAGCAGAAATGGCAAAACCACGGATTTCAGTGGAACTGTTTTTGTAAAGTTTACACCAGGAAAACCTCACCCCTTATTTATACTGTAGCCATATTTGAGGCTTGACTCACATCAGATCCAAGCCAGTGATTCCAGCTAAACCAGAGATGTGGTCAGACTTTCTTTTCTTTAATCTTAGTGAGAAGAAGGTCTTTATGGTCAGGACACAGGAGGAACAATATTTCCTTGTCCTGTAGAACAGTGGCTCATATTGCTCCCTTGAGAGTAGAGGTTGGCTGAGTGACGCAAAAAGTGTTACTGTAAACACTTTTGACAAACATGTATATTATCTTATACTACAAACACGTAGAAACTACTGCTCAGAAGTATGAGTTCACCTCCATTTTCCCAGTTGTTATTACTATAATTCAGCAGCCGAACACACTTCTGGCCTTCTTTCTACAACTGAAATCAAACATTGTTATAGACAGCACTGTTGTAGAAGTCCCCATGTGTTGCACCTGTAGTTTGCTTCGCTTTCACTCTTCATCTGGAAAGTCCAGACACCGTGCTGCTATTGAATCATTTCATTTTCTTCTGACAAGGTCAGACCTTCTTTTGTTCCTTTATTTGCATCAATTTTCAGGGCTTCATTTACTTCCACTGCTGCGGAAAAGATTAAATTAATCTATTACTTCTATCTTTCTGTGTTATATGAATGCATTTTGTGTCTTGTCTTACTTCTTATAGCGACTACTGCAGTGTCAAAAATGTGTTTTGTAAGGTACAGTGCAGTGTTATTGTCTGAGGATAAGTGCATTAACAAAGGAAAAATTGACAGCATTAGGAGGCTAGGATTAAAGTAACATTTGTTTTTACAAAAAACAGAGATGTTTCCCCACATCTGGGGAAATATTTTCTTCTCGCTGAGTTGGCAAGACAATCAATACCACTGTCATATCTGTCTGTTAAATATGAAGCTACAGGCAGCAGCTGGAAACAGGGGGAAACAAAATGATGGCTTTACTGAGAGTATTGTGTACTGGACTTTTCCACAGCTGTCGTTTTTACTCTCAGGTTTTTCACTCTTAGTGGGCTGGTGGAGCAGTTTTGTAACTTCAGACTGAGCCAGGCCAACTACTTCCAGTGTGCTAAGTGCCTCCAGGATGGCCTGTTTACTGTAACTCTCAAATTATTGCTTTAAAGTAACAAGTCTTTCAAATGAACCAATAAAACATACTGTTTGTCCATGTTTCCTAGCGCAGCACATGATCTGGTGCCCCTGTGAAAGGAAGACAACCTTTATGGGCGTCTTCCAAAAGGGCTAGCATTAGATCCCAAGAGTCAGGAGTAGAGAAGTAAACTTTGAGTCCATGACGGTATGTGTTACCACATAATTACACATCGGTCAGAATAGCTGCCTGGTTGAACAAGCAGTGGTGAACAATATGTTGGAAACTGAGGAACCACTAAAATATGGAAAGCTCCCTTAGACAATATTGCTTCAATTGAATAAATAAAATCATACTAAAGGTATATTCAGGCAAACATGATCTTTTGAGAATCAAAAGCTTCCTCCTTGCCTGAAATACAACTCTGTGAAGTCTGTGACTTGCTTCTTCAAAGACAATGTCAGCTGTAGCCAGGTACACTTGGTTACAGTGGTAACGGCGAAGAAACTTGTTAAATATATGAAAAGTGTTTTTAAAACTACAGTGTAATCCACTTAAATTGATTTGGAGAACACATTTGTGAAGCTAGCTTAAAACAAGTCAGCATTTTGAAAAATATGCTTACACTGCTTTTATAAATAGGATTTGATGAAAAGATCAGTTTCAGTTTTATCTCTGTGGTAAATATGAATCTAGAGCAAACAGATTAGTTTAGTTTGGCATAAAGACAGGAAACAGCTAGCCTGTTAGATGTATGTTTACTGTGCTGCTTCTCCTGCAGCACAGTACACATATCTGCAGTTATTGGGAAAATGCACTTTTGATAGCTATTCATTTTATTTGTTTAATGGATAAAACTTGCAATATTCTATATCTCAGTAACTGTCAAGAGATCCTGTAACAAAACAGAGCAGAAGTTTAGCTGTCCACCTAATGACATAACACTGCTGTTGCTGGATTTTGAGTTTGACCTTTATTTGTATCATTAAAATGGTTCCTCTAACACTTCTTTATACAGTGTTTCATCTACTGTGAGATATTTTGTTAACAAGCAAGCAAAACAGAAAAAGTGAAGAACACTAAAAGCCCTTTTCAACCTCACTGCTCTGCTGGCAGGTCAGTAAGTACAAGTTCATGCTATGCAGCCAAATATTGCTCAAACCCACAGGACTGTATTAGTGGAGACCTAAGTTTCCAAAGCCAATCCCAGCTGACATTAGATGAGAGGCGGGGGTCCACCCTGGACAGGTCACCAGTCTATCAAAGGGCTGACATGTAGACAAACAACCACACACATGCACACTCACTTCTACAGGAAACTTTGAGTCACCAATCTGCCTAAGCTGCATATCTTTGGACTGTGGGAGGAAGCCAGAGCACCTGGAAAAAACTCACATAGACACAAGGAGAACATGCAAACGCCACACAGACAGGGCCCAGGTCAGCCGGGACTCAAACCCAGAACCTCCTTGCTGCAACCGTCAGAGCTAACCACCACACCCCTGTTAAATATACAGGCAGTGATAATTAACTACTGTTTAATGTTACTCCAGGCCAAAGGAAGAATGTAGCGGCAAGCTCAGGCCGAAGGTCACGTTCCTGGCCCGATATTATTGCCAAACCACAAAATCTGCACAGACCTTTCAAAATGCCAAAATAATATTTTTCCTGGCATCTCAAGGAAAGTTATACTTTTCTAAATGTGTGTGTGTGTGTGTGTGTATGTGTGTGTGTGTGTGTGTGTGTGTGTGTGTGTGTGTGTGTGTGTGAGTGAAATTCAATGTGGGTTCCCAGTGCCAAACATTGTGTCTGTTGGACAGGAAGAACACACCCATCGCAGTCTCTCTGTCTCTCTCTCTCTCTTTCTTTCTGTTTGTCTGATAAAGCACTGATTCAAACCAGCTGTCAGTGTATCCACATCCCGTCTCTTCAGATCTTGTTAAGAAAATACTTAATGAACTAACAACAAAATAACTGCATGACTTTATGTGCTCATACAACAACCCATAGCAAAATAAAACAAATTCACACCTGCTACCTGGGGTTAGCCAAATGTTGTTGTTGTAAATCTTTAACTGAAGTAAAAGCAGCTGAGGCATGGTGAGGAAAAACTTCTTACCTAAAGAACAAGACATAGTCACTGCCAGAATGCAATGGACAGCAGTTGAAAAGGCATTAAGATCTTTCCCATAATTGGAAACTGAACTTTTTAACACATCTGTTTACGGGTCTTGGAACAAAATTTTCATACAGATATATAAAGCATTTTGTGGCTCCAGAAGTAACTGTGTAAAGTTTGGTAAATGAGCTGATGCCATAGAATATATCAAACATGTAGGGGTGTGAAGGTAAAAAGTGAGGCAGACTTCAGTTGCTACTAACATAACACACCTGAAAAACCTACCAAAGCATCATGAGCCATGTTGGATTGTGGGTAATGTAGGCACCAACTTAAGATACAGTAGAAGGAGGCATGGAAGAAAAAAATGTTTGCTAGTGCAATGTTAAATTGGTTACTTTAAGCAGAAATCCCACAAAATAAAAATGGCTTGTTACACAACTAAGCTCCTGGATTCAAAAACGTATGCCAGGACAAGTACAGAGTACTTTAATATTATCATGAGATTATCATTATGCAGAATGGCCCCTTGTAGAGTGCTGCGTATGTTATTAGAACAGATGCATTAATATGTAAGCAGAATTTAAATGTGGTAGCTGCTTGAAGTGAAGCAGATTTTATAGTACTTTATACACTGATTGGTAAAATGCATTTTATTTATTATGACTATCATAACTTTTGTATTTAAAATTTGATTCTATAAAGCTGACAGTTGTGGAGAAAATGTGTAATATTTGTTTTTATGTGGCTTTAAATTAAATTTAATTGAATAACTCAAAATGTCTAATTTGTACTTCATTACAATACTTGAACATAAGTAATAAAGTACTTTCCACCACTTGCATTGACTACTGAACGATGAGGGGTCAAATATTAACAAAGAGACTCACATTTAATAAACAAGACAAAAAACAGAATTTACACTGGACAGACAACCTGATGAACTGAGGTTCACATCACAAATGGCAATCTCGTTGTCTTTGCGCACTTAATGTACAACAAATGCCATCTGCTGAATGTTAGCTGGTGTCCTTGATTTCAGAGGTTTGATCATGGAGCTGGTGGGTGTGTTTTTCTTTTTTCTTCTATCAAATGTGTTTCTGTGCTCTCCTCTACAGGCTCAGCTATATACAGTACACTGTATCTGAACACACCATGCTGCATGGGACTCCTCTCCACCAGTGATGCCTGCCTCTCCCGCTACTCTCCTCTGTGTGCTATTATGTGTGTCAGTGGCTCTGCAGCGCTCTGACCTGCGCCTGGCTTATGTGACCCACAACAGCTTCTACTACTACTCCTGCAACCAGGATCCACAACCCTGCAGCATCTCAGCACTTACAGACTGCAGGTGCAAGAACATCCCACTTTCTATGCTGCACCGCCCCCAGTCGCACTCATCCCCTGTTTTCTGGATGAGACATTTAATTGTTTGGTTTACATCGCCATTAAACGTAGCACATCTTCTCAACAACTCAGAGGTGAGGCACCTCACTCTGATCCGATGTGGCCCTGGAGATTCCAACGAGCCACCTTCTTCTTCCCTGGACAGATATTTTGCTGTGCAGCATCTGGAGAGGCTAACAGTGGTAAACATCTCACAGAAGCTGGTTCACCATTGTCCAGATGCAAACAGAGCTAAGAACACAGACTCAGACTCTGAGCCAGACAGAGATAACAGTGCTCACCAAGACACAAACAGATACAACAGAGATAGACACACAAACCTGGACCTGGAGGCAGACATGAAGCAAGATTCCTTGGGTTTGTCCTCACCCCAGATCCAAGACATCTTTCTGGACAGGGAACTGGGAGCAGCGTATCATGAACAGGCTCGACTGGGAATCATCCACGACTCTGTGCTGGACTGGGGAGCAGTGGTCAAAGCCTACACAGTCCAGACACACATAGACAGTGATGGTTTGCTGCCCTTTCCTGACCTCCACCTGCCAAAATTACCAGAGACATCTGTCATATATGTCAGCTTTGTGTACTGATACCAAGTTAGGTTGTTTCAGTTTTGGAGGAAACAACAGGAGAAAGGAGCTGCTCCCCAGAGAGTGTAAAGTTTGTTGTATTAAATAGATTGTTTACTTTTTTGTTGTTGTTGCAGGTCTACACTTTACCTTTTGTCTTAAGAATAATCCCTTCATTCTCTTAAAATGGGAGAAATCACTCAAGCTCATAATTAGTTTTTTTAAGCTGACAATACAAAACAAAGCCTTAATACAGTACCAAGCAAAAGTGGAATTATGACCATTCAGTAAGTGCAATGAAACTGATCAAAAACCTTTTCCAAAACCTGCTTGAAAAGCAAAATTGCAGTCATTATAAATAATTGTAATACCCGTTCGCTTCCAAAATCGAGCCACTAGATGGCAGCAGAGTCAACGAAGAAACCAAACATGTTGAGGAAGAACTGAGCTGACACTGCACCGGGAAAAAGTTGATATCTACTTTTATTTATTTATTTTTTTTAAGTTGTCTACAGCTCTTCAAGAATCCAGTAAACCCTTAAAAGATTGCGAGGAAGCTTTAGCGTTACATTAAGTGTTAACAAAGTATGGCCAGTTATTTGTGGAGAAAAACTGGAATCAATGCAGTTGTTGACAAAAACAACAGAAACGATGTACATCTTACTCATGACTGGTGAATTTAAGATCATCTTTGTTATTAGATTTGTCCAAATGAAATATGTGTAACCTGGGTAAAATAGCATAATGCATTATAGTTAAACCTCATTAGAAAGTTCATTTGCTTTTGAACAATGGTTACCATAAATAAATTGATTTCATACGATTAATATGGTTAAAAGCTTTATGTTGATTTATTTTATGTTATTTTGAAGGTTCAAGGAAGTGTTGTGTGTAAAATACCATATATAAATATGACAAATTATTGGTCATCCGTTGGTAAAAGTAGTGATACCCAGGGAAAGGAGAGAAGAAGAAAAAAGGAAGCCACAACTTGGTGAAGTTTATGCACACCCTAAATATGTTAAGTATGTGGACTGCATCTTAGGCTGTCAACTCCAGGATCTACTGTAAGATATTTGTCCTACATAGTTTGTAGTACATGACTGGATATTCCTCTGCACTGAGTTGAATTGCAGTTGTGTAGTGTTATGGTGGTTAGCCTGGTAGCATACCTAGCTAACTTGTTAGCATTCCTTTGCTAAATGAATGTTGGTATGGTGGTATAGCTAACCCGGCTTGCTCCCAAGACTGTATTAATCCTTTCCTGGACCTGGAATTCATGGGCATTATCAGAGACAGCGCTAAGTGACCTACCAGCGGATGGTACAACAGACCCTGCTACTTCGGATTTTCCCGCTACGGCTTGCACCTGGAACTGACGGCCTGTGACTGCTTCGCCATTGGGTGGCTACTGGGACCCCTTTGCCATTTTCTTGTGGACACACAGAGGAGGTAACGCTTAACTCTTTGAACTACGAACCACTAAGTAAGGTTCCGTCTTTTATTTGGCTCTTATGAGTAAAAGAGCTGCTTAATTTTTGGCGTCACCGCACCCGAGGGTCCACCAGGCCTCCAACAGGGGTTAAATCTCAGTGTATATTCTGCTGGGGGAGAGTGTGGTGTGTGTGGGCCCACCATATTTTTGTGTTTATTTTGAAATATTGAAACGTGTGTCTTACAGTGAAAAGGGTCAGGGATGTTTAAAGGGGATTGTTATTGTTTGTGGTGTACCCCGATTTTTCTGTTGAGTAAATGAAGAAAGTTTAACTCTTAACATGTGTTTGGTTATTGTATACAGCACTCGTAGGACCTAAGGCCAAATAATATAGAGATGTTTATTACAGACAAGATTTGTCAGTTACAGTTACTGTGAGTTAATTGAACCCAGTGGGTATAGGTGGGTTAAATAAACATCAGAACTTAAAATCTGACCAATAAAAAGACTGTTGAAAAAACATGCTCTAGATGTGGCCAGATGTGCCCATGATGTTACAGCCAAGCTGTCTGATAAACCATAATGGATACAGTGCTGACATGGTGTAAAGGCTTTGCATAGGTCTGTTGAGGGAAACCAAAAATCACTTTTAAATATGGTTCAGTCTGAAACAATCAGTTAGAAAGCAACTTTTTGTATTTTTGCTTTTTGTTGTCGGATGAACATTTATTTTATATGACTGATTGCTTTGAGGTGCATTTGTCAGCTTAAAACCTCATAATAACTGCAGTTCTGCGGAAAAACGCTGCGTGTGCGCATAGGGTGTTTGTTGTGTTTTGCATGTGCGCTGACACCTGCTAAAGAGCTGCTTATTTGCAATGCAAACATGCAGCCGTCTTGTTAAGCGTCTTGTGAATGCAAACTGATCATGTCTGTTGATCCCGCACCTGACAGGTCAGCACTGCCCGACACGCACCGAGGCCAATTACCAAAGAAATCACAGTGGTGGTGAGGACTAGATTTGTGTCAGCTTGAAGAAACTAACATGTGCCTGGCTCTCAGACTGCTCTCACGGTGGGCGGATCGGCCGTTTATGGAAATCAACCCTGTGTGTTTAAAGGCTGGCATGACCGGGGTCCTCCACTTGGGATAATCTAAAGACAAACTAACCTCCAGTAAAAACAAATCAATTACATGTTCACTCTAATACTCCCAGTGTATGGAGCACTGTGAATGCACACGGTAAATATTTATGTCGGTCTAAAAAGGTGGACAGGCCGAGACTAAATTGGATTGATTTCAGGTGGGCTCTCTTGTCTCTGCACCCGTCCAAGTGTGTCTTTAACCACGCTGCCGCCGTCTCCTTTAGCAGTAAAACATTTTTATAATCAGACGTTATTGTTCGCCGCCTCCTTGTGGGAGATGCGCCCATGTTCATTTTTTAAAAGGGCAAATCAGCCATAATTCAGTTTATAAACCGCTGCGCGCAGGGGAGAAATGCCTGAATGAATATTCATTAGAGCCCACCCGAACTGCCACGCTTGGTGATTCATTAGGCATATGTAAATATCACTCACTTTAATTGCCTCTAAACTGACTCAACATAATGTTGTCATTAGCAAATTATTACTTATTTGTGATACTAATAGCACGGTATGGCGCGCAGTGCTACAGCTCCACATATATGATTGCAATTACAGCTTTTTTTATTCACAGGATGACTGCGGAGTCTGGATCTGTAGTGTGTGTGTGTGTGTGTGAGTGTGTGTGCGAGTGATCCATGGACGACCTGAGTCTCTGCAGCCATTAGATACAAACAGAGCTCAGGAAATTTTATTACATCTTTGTATCATGTGGACTGACTTCACAGTTAACAGGAAACCGCCATATCTCTCAAACTTTATTAGCCTTAATATAATTTCTCACACAGTAATTCAGTCACTTAGTGAATAAAATAAAACTATGGAAAGACTGTACTGCAAAGACTGCATAAAAATGCTATGTTCAATCAATTTATCGATCATACACAAGGAAGGATTTGATAGATACCCGCAGTTCAGTTTACACTATAGCTTGAATGTTTCATCAAAGTCTGCTTGTCAGTACTGTTGATGAAAATTTAAGTACAATTAGACAGCAGTAGTGGACGAAGTACTCAGATTCTTTACTTAAGATGCCACAGTGTAACAATACTTGTGAAACAAGCCATGCATTCAAAATGTCACTTAGATAAAAAGTACAAAAGCATCCAAATATACTTGAAGTATAAATAAAAGTACATTTCACACTGATGCATTGTTGGGTTATAATTAATGATGCATTAATATGTACATTACATTTAATGTTGAAACTGGTACAGATGAACCAAATTTTAATAATCTTATATGCTTATAATTAGAAGTTCTGATGGTAGCTTGTGAATTTCCCACCAGCCATTAATAGTCTTATGATTATACTGTATTTTCTTCCAGTATTCATATTCTGAAAGGTAATTAGTAACTAAAATAATCAAATAAATGTAGTGGAGTAAAAAAAAAAAAGTATAAAGTGACAGAAAATGAAAATACTCAAGTACAGATACCTCAAAGTTGTACTTAATTATTAAACTTGAAAAAAATGTACTTTCCATCTCTGTGGCAAACAGAGTAAAATAAACAAAGGGGGGAAATCTTTCAGTCCTGATGTTACTGTGAAATGGCCATAAACTGTACACGTGTGCACAGGTTAAAATTTATCAAAACTCATAAAGACATCGTTTTGCTTTTTAATATATCCTAAAACGTTTGTATTGTATTTGGTTGTAAATCTCTTCGACTCCTTCACGTGAATTTGAGGAAACACCGTCAGGATACAGTTATGGGGTTTATTCAACTGGAACAGAAAGACATTTTTGCTTCAGAAAACAAAGCTCAGCATCAGATTTCAGACTTTTTCCTGAGACCCTCTCACTTCCCTGACTCGTACTGAAAACACAGGCTGTCACAGTTTTTAAAATAAATGCTGTCTTTTTTTAAATATAAATCCCTCCCTGCTTGTCACAGTCTGCACAACATGAGGGAGGGAGGGAGGAGAGGCAGAGACAAATAACGATGTGTGTGTTTGTGTGCAAGTGGGTGTGCGCGTGCAAGTGTGCATCTGTGAGAGAGTGTGAGGGAGCTAATAAAGTAACGTGATGGATGATCTCCTTTCTCCCAGAGGGACCAGCACCATGTAATTGGCCCACACAATGCATTATGGATAAGGCAGTTGAGATTATAGCTTGTTAATGTGTCCCTCCCTCGTCCCCTCCCTCTCCTCTCTTTCCCCCCCTCCTCCTGCATTTCTCTCTCTCTCTCTCTCTGTCCCTCTGTTGCAGCTCAGGCAGTGACATGGTCACCTCATTGTCGGGGCGTGTGGGTCTTTTAGGTGCAGATGGAGAGGGAGAGGAGCTGTACAGCAGCGATCTGCCACACTTAGTGCAGGAAGTTTGTGTATCTGGGTGTGTGCTTGCTTATATTACTCACGCAGTGGGGACATTTGTTCACATTATGAGGACCCTTCTCACATATGGTGACAAAAAGCTGGTCCCTACAAAGTAACTGCTAAATTTATGGGCTAGGTTTTGGTTTTTGGTTGCTGTTCATCAGGGGATAAATGTGAGTCAACGTCCTCCTAGGTGACAGAAACAGGTTATTGTGTGTGTGTCTGATTGTGTGTATCACAAGAAGCCAGCCAAGAGGCAGCCATCAGAGACAGTCCATTGGCAGGGGCCAGGGCTGTGGACATATGTCTGCCCCCTCCCTCAGCCACCACACACACCCCTCAGTCCTTCTAAGAGGGTGCCAACCCCCCACAACCCACCTCCCTCCTTCCATCCCCTTTCAACTCCCCCATTCTCCCAGCCTCCCTTCCCCCTCCACCTTACAGCCCTGTCCAGGGACCTGTCAAGCCATCTGTTGAAGCAGGACTAGAGGAGCTGGTCTGGAGGAAATGCTACTGTAGCATGGCTATGTGGCTAATAAGCAGGGGTAAGTGTGTGTGTGTGTGTATAAGAGCCTTACTGGAGATGGAGCATGTGTTTGTTGCAGGGTGTGTGTGTGTGTGTGTGTGTGTGTGTGTGTGTCAGGGCATCCCAGGGTAGACGGTCCCTCACATATTTATCCAACAAAAACAAATTGTTGTATAATTTTTGGGGGATATCATCTAAGCTTGGTCATAAGGGGCTATGACATTAAAATTAAAACAAACCTTTCTGAGTTATTAATGAGAAGACAGCATTTACTTTCTCAATTAAACACCAGCCTAAATGTAATAGCTTTTTTGTAGTAAATTCTAGCCCCTTTTAGAAATACCTCATTACTAACACTACACACACACATATACGTACAGTATGTATGTGTATATGCACACACAGTACTGTCCAAACATCCATTAGTTTTGCTGTTGTAGCAAAATTATAGTTATAATTTATATTTCTGTCTCTTAAGATATAACCAGAAAATATGTACATAAGCTTGGAAAAAGACATTTTGAGAACAAAATGGCTTCGAAAGTCCACAGTTAATACATATCTTAACCCGTCCCTCTTCTGAAAAAGTGGTTTCTTGGCTGCTGTTTTTCCACAAAGGTCGTTCCTGAACAAGCTTCTTTGGACTGTGGAAGGATCAACTTGGCATCCAGAAGAAACTGGATCTAGTAAAGTCAAAGTATAAAGTAGCAAAAAATGAAAATACTCAAAAAAACCTCAGAATTGTACTTAAGTACAGTACTTGAGTATTTACTTTACTGGTCATTATTTAATTAAGGCACTGACAGTAAAATAAGCATTGAAGTCACTCAATGATGCAGCCTGTGAGAGAGCTGGTATTATTACATTTTATCTTGCTGTTCTCTTTTTCACT